CCTTTGTGTTTGGAAGTGAAGGGTGGGGGTTGGGGGAGGACCAGGGAGGATGATTCAACCACTAGATGTCGCTGAAAACAACAAATCCTACACAATGTGCCTTTAGCTAAAATTAAAAGACAGTGAGCTAACAGATAATCGCTAACAACTAAGATGGCCATCACTCACTCTGCATTACTTTGTCTATTGGCAGGACAGAAACAACCCTGCTGGTCAGTGTTAGTGGACTTAAAGTTGACAAGACCTAATTTAACGAAAGCTAATTGGTTCACTAAAGGTTCTCAAAGTTAGTGTAAAAACTAATCTGCTRAAAGGAAAAAGTAGTTCTGCTACTAGCTGTTAGCTGATTAGCAGATGTCCACCACTGAGTTTGACTTTCCTGCGTAAAACCTGAACATTTTTCTCATATTTGAAAAAGACCTAGTTCTTCAACACTACAGTTGCTGCATTTCTTTCTTTCTTTCTTTCTTTCTTTCCTTTTTTTTGTCTTGCTGAAATAAGCAAGACCTCCCACTTGTAATGAATGATGTCACACATTTAAAAGGGTGCAGGATATGTGCTGAAAACAAGCCAAAAGATCCCCTTCTTCTTCAGTATAAAACTTAATTTCCCAAAACAATTTCCCATTTTAATCATCAGACAACATCACAAGTTTCCACTTTGCTTCAGTTCAGCCTAAATAAGCTCTGGCTCATAAAACAGCAGTCTTTTTGGTTCCTCTTTTTATAGCTGCATCTCATTTTTAGACTGAGTTCAGCATTCAAAATGTTTCCAGGCCTGAAAAAACCTGATTTGCCCAAATGTCCAAAAATTAGAGCCAGTTTTTAACCTTTATATTTTTGTTGCAATTTTACATAAAAAAATCTTTTAATTTAAATGTAAATATTTGCTCACCATATTTCTAATCTTGATTTTAAAAAAACAATTATACAATACTAACCTAAATCAGATTTTACCACAGTTTTTTTACAGTTCGGCTTATTCTGAGTTTACTTTTGTAATATCTTGATACCATAAAAACTTAAAATAACAACAACAAAGTAATAATTGGTCTTGGTTTCTGTGTTTGACATGTTGTTTTTGTGCCATTTTAATCACAGTAAACATTGTTTCACAGTTAATTGCTGTGTTTTTGTTACTTACTGTACATATAAACAACAAAACAACATTTTTGTAGACGGGGTTGTATTGGAAATGTCAGAAGGTTCGGAACAATTTGAAAGTGAAAGAATATGAGCTTGTTTAAACAGAAAAAAATAAAAAAGGGTCCCCCAGCTTTGCAAACAAAGACCCTCCACTGCTGGTTTGGATAAACTGTGGGCTTTGTTTACTGGAACAGTTTAGGTTTGTGCTTCTCAGCTGAGTAATACTGTTGGGTCATAATTACTAACTCTATTCTAAAGAAAAACTCTATTTGAAAAAAAAAATGTATATATATATATATATAAAATAAAATGGATTTTACAGGATGTGTAGGGAACTTAAACATGAATAAATATATGAGGTGTGTTTGACTTTTGACTTTTTAATATAAGCCCTGTTTATGRCAAATAAAGCATGTAAATGAAGCAGATTTAAGACATTTAAAGTGGATTAAATTTATTTCTCTGAATGATTTTGAGGAGTGTGAGCTTCATGTAGTGCATAAAGGCAAGATGTGTCCACACTGGTAGTTCAGGGATACACATGTAATTAAAAAGCTGCATCTCCATGTAAACACTAACAGTCTCTCTCTCGCTCTACAAGGTTGTTCTCGACTGTTTGACTGTCAGCAAGGTAAACACGAATGGCAGATGGATCTGTGGACAGAAAGGCGTGCACATGGGAGGAGCCAGGTTAATTAGACGTGATAAGAAGCAGCTGCACTGAGATCAAACTAAAAGTGGAAAACTTGAGTTCTGAAGAACAAGAACAAGAGGCACAAGCAGAAATTTTGAAAATCTATACTTTACTGGAGGAATATTTCCAGACGACGTTTTACTCACACTCCTTACCTTTTCACACAAGAATCTGCTATTTCTATTGCACKTYCTGGATWGAGTGAATTTAACTATGGTTAAGTAGAAGTATATAACATTGAGACACCATGTTTGTACACCATCCATCACACCTGCTCATGACACAAATGATGTCAAACTCAAGCAGGACATAACATACATCATGTAGCCTATCCATACAGGAAACAGGTGTGGGCCAAATTTGGCAATGATGTCACTATTTTTCAGATAGCCTGTAACACAACAGGCCCAGTTGTGGTTTATGTGTCCCAAATCTGTTAATGCAACAACTGTCCCAGCACGTGGTCACGCGTCTCATTTCACAGTCGTTCATGCAACTGACACGAGTAGTCTACGTGGGCTGCAAGCCATGAATTGAGACAACCCATATCTGAGTCATTCATTGCAGTATGTGGGTATCTGTTATTGTGTGGGCCAGAACTGATCCAGACAAATTTTGCGTTGTGGGTAGTTTGAAGATGATCGTGCCAGAGATATACAWATATGCAGGTAAAACAGAAAGTGCACCCAACCCAACATTTTTCAACATTAACATTTTAATATAACATTGAAGTCATAATAAGCTTTCGAAGTGTTTGTTTGTTTGTTAAGTACATTTTATGTCAGAATTTTACTTTTGGTACTTAAGTGCAGTAAAGTAATATTCTCAGAGGAGACTTTAACTTTTACCAAAGTAATTTTATGGTAGTATACTTGTACTTTCATCCAAGTATCACTTTGATACTTGGATGAAAGTATGAGCGCATGTTTCTGTGTTTCTGTGTAAAACACAGGATCRGAGCTCTTTTTTTAACTCACCCTTCCTATTGTGTGTATTCCAAGCTGCAAAAGGTAGCGCACCGTAGTACAAAAGACCTTGGACATTCGTTCCGCCATGTTTATTATGTGTGTCTTTCTCCAAACGGATGTTCTTAACTGCAAGTTCCTAGTCTGTGTTTATCACTGACAATGACAATAARGCTGATTCTGATTCTGATATACTTTATACAAGACTGGAAAGAGGACAATGTCATGTGAATGAGTGGGAGAGAGAAAGCGAGAGAGAGAGGGGGGGGGCGAGTAAAAGACTGAAACAGAGTTCAGGCGATTGGATGCGGAAGTTGCTGTGGTGAGCACATGGGTGTGGCTGAGTTAACCATTTTCCTGTTTGCCTTTCAAAASTGATCTGCAGGGTGGATGATGAGGCATCCCAGGAAACAAGCACCTTACAGGATGGAAGCCAAGGTAAGCATAACAGTCTGGATTWAAAAAAAAGAGACTAAATATCCAAAAAGCTGAGGGGCTGTTTCTGCGTTGAAGCTGAGTGAAAAAGAGATGGATGGAGAATGACAGACAAATGGAGGATGAGACAAAACAGAGAGTGAATGAGAGCGCCAGATGTGACAAACAGACAGGCAGGCAGGCAGGTCAGACCAGGGGAGGGGAGCGACGCCCGGTGCAGCCTAGAGGAAACAGGCCTCATCTTGACATATGCTCTGAAGTAAAATGAAGATTGGCATGACCTGCTAATCTCAGCTGTCCAAGCTCATGACGCTCACCTGTCATGCCGCTCTGCCCGCGGGGATGAGCTGCCACCAGGATAGGTCAGGGATCGAAACTTGATTTCTGCTGCATTCAAACCGGGGACCACCTGGTCCTGGACCTTCATCCGTTGCCTTTACCTGCACAACGGTGATGCTGCCATCAAATTATCGAACTATTTTAGTTTTCTATCAGGCTACATGCAGTGTGTTGAGGGGGAGTTTGTTTCTCCACTGATCCACAGACTCGCTCACTGACTCAGGATCTCCATTCTGTTAAAAATATTTTTGACACATATTCCAATGCCAATACCTAATTGGTGACAGCTTTTTAAAAAAAATAAATATGTTTACAACGCTACAAAGTTCAACCCTGAGATACGTGGGAGGATGGCACGCACAATATGTGGCCTCAATCACTCGTTTCTTTTTGACAAATAAAAACAAAGTTTTCTGAAATTCTGAGTTTCAAAGTATGAATCTGTTTTCGGCCATGCTCTGCATGAGAAGTGTGGTTAATGATGTTAACTGATTTAAAAAAAGGAAGCAGTGGCCATGTGGTGCTGAACTCAATGAGCACATCTTCCTGTTTGTGCAACGAACAGTGTTCCAGAGTGGTTGCATCACTCATGTGTTGATCATTCATTGTAGAGAGCACATTTACATTGTGCTCATCTGCTGACCACAGAGCTCAAAATAATTAGAATTACTAAAGATTTTTTGTATCAATGAGCACGTGTTTTACTACAGTTTATTGTTAATTTACATACAGACATCTCCTACTGTGACGTCTCAAAGCTTGTAGATTAATTATTCTGAAATTCATTTCAGCTTTAACAAATCAATCAAAATCTGACATGCAATAATATATCAAGCATCAAGAATCTTTTGCTGTCATTAATACACAACATCAAGATGCAATGTAGAAGAAAATTTGCAGTTTAGAACATCCGTCCGGAGAAACACACACACACAACAGACACGGGGGAACGAGTGTCCAGGGTCTTTCGCAACTTAGTGCGCTACCTTTGCARTTTAGAATACACACACACATAGGAAGGAAGGATGAGTTTAAAAAAGAGCTTTGATCCTGTGTTTTATGCAGAAAAACAYRCGAGCATACGCTCCAAAAAACTACTCTGYGAAAGAAAGAGCAGCTAAGGAGGGGAGRTGGGTGGGGGAACAAAACATATGGTAAGGRGAGGGGTGTAGTGGAGCCGGTGATGTCCAAGGCAGTGTGCCGGTATTACACTTTTCTAAATTATTGTTCCTTTTGCTCTTCTAATGATGTGTTTTTTCTTCCAGATTTGCATCACCTCATTAATATATCTCCTGTTTGTTGTGTTTAAAGGTAAGTGCAGAAAATCCCTACTGATACTGCATTAGCTCAAGTTCATATACTGTATGAACTGAGTTTGTGATGAGGATGCCGCTAACACGATGTAAGGATAAAATGAAGCTTTACTGTTAGCTTAATTAGCCATAAACTTCATTATATCCATAATTTCATAAACTCCTCTAATATAAAATGTATGAATTGTTGACAAATGTGTTTATTATTGGTAATTCACATTTGGAAATGTAGCTCTGAATCCTGCTGCTAAGGCTAAAATGAAGCTTTAGGGCTACAGTTAGCTCCATTAGCCATAAATCTCATTATGTCCACAACTTCAATGACTTTTAAACATACAATTACAACTACAGTAAGTTTACATATGTGTGTTTATATTCAGACACCTACATTTTTAAAATATCGGCCTACCTCTATGCTAAATGTGAATGCTAAAATGTAGCCCTGTAGCTAAAATGTAGCTTTATGGTTAGTTTGATTAACTATAATGTGTTCCTCTAACCTCACAATGTCCTCAACTTTAAACGACTCTTCTAACCATCTGGAGGAAATTTAATTCAAAATAAGATATTTAGTTATAGTTAGTAACACACTTTGAAATGTAAAGCTCAAATGTAACTAATTATTTAGCAAACTTCCCTCCAAATTTTCAAAGTTCCTCACTTTCAAAGCCTCCTCTTCATCTGGATTAAAATTAATACATATGTGTTCGTAATCAGACATGTATCACTTTCAAGGTACATGTTGACTATTTGTTTTGTTAACCAGCAAACATAATGTGTRTGATGTAGCAACTATCTTCTGTCTAAAATAAATGTGGACATCATTTCTTTAGTTTCATTATGTCTGTGGTTGTGGTGGGAAATCACACACACACACACACAAAGAAAAGTTACTCATATTCTTAAAAAGTCTTTAAGGCCTGCCCAACTTCTCTGAAGTCCCAGTAGAAATTGTGTTGATTTTCTTTTTTTCCACAGAGTTGTTATCCTGTTTGTTTGTAAATGAATTAGCCTTTCTAAACTAGAATTTGATTTTAAATGAAAGCGTGTGTGTGTTTAAGAGACTATAAAATATTCATAAGTGTAACACTGCATTCATTTTAGGTAGACACTGTAATGGGATTGGAAAGGCTGCAACTGTTTTCAACCAGAGACTGAACGTCCAATTATATTAAAGTCAAGACAGTGCTATGCTCCTGAGCACTTAGACACAATTTATCAGAAGTGTTTAAAACACACAACTAATGAAGTTAGTCATAAATCATTAGTYGTTTAATCAGGCCACGTGTTCATTAAAAACATTAGAATTAACAGCCAACAAAGCGGAGAAGTATTTTTTAAAACTTCAACGCTAATTAGAAGGTGCTGAGTGAGCGAACAATGGTCGTTTTGTTCCGTAGTTTCACTCAACAATCTGACTCTGTTGCTGGACTTTGCCCCACAAGCCCACTCACAGGGTTACCACTGTGACATCTGCAGGCCCTCTCTACACTTCATGGCCAGACACATTCTGGAGCCTGGTCTCTGCCAGGAATACATGGCAGCATTGTTGGACCAAGCCCATAAACAACACCGGGCTTTGTTCTGCCTGAAAACTGGACTGTTTCATTCTTTTGTTGTTGTTACTGTTGATTAAAAATGAATATTTTTCATTTTTTTTCTTGCAGTGTCATGGGCTCAGGAGCCCACATCTGCATATCAAACAACGCCTCGAAGCRTCAGAGCGACAGATCTAACTACGACTTTCCCGGGTACAGCTCTGTTTATCTGTCAGTCTGTCCTGTAGCTGAAGGTTATGTGTCTCTCCGTTTATCTCACTTTGTTTCTTTGTGTGTGTGTGTGCGTGCATGCGTGTGTGTATGTGACAGGGGAAAAAGACAAAAGCAGCTTCACCAAAGTTGTCAACTCTTCTCTAGAAAATCCCCCCATCAAGCTGACCACAAACCAACTCAATGCAAGCGGCTCAGTCAGCTCCACCCAATCCGGTAGCGTGGTTTGTCGTCAGCACTGAACACAGCAGCACCTACTTCCCATTAATTTATTGAGATTTTTAATTCTTCCTCAGGTTTCACTCGGGGGGTGTCAACAAAGGCCAAATCATCCCCAGGTAACATCCATCACCCCTCGTGTTTTTGAAAATGTTTTGGAGAGGATTCATTTCCCCTTTTTTGCAGATGACAGCATTTCCTCACACATTAAAAAAATACAAGAGAAAAAACGCCTCTCATTTCTAGTTTCCATCAAAAATTCAGAGACCTACTTTTTGAGCTTTATGGAAATTGTTTAAAAATGGTTAACCTATTATTTTTTTATGGAGATATGATAAGCATTCTGCTGTATTTTACCATTCTGCTGCTTAGTACTGAAGAACCAGAGGAATAAAAAAATATTGATGCTGATGTGCTTCAGGTGATTCCTTTGAAATATTTAGATATTTAACTAAAAATTTAATTGGAGTCATATGTGTGATGTAACACATTGAGGCCATGTATTTTTTTGGTTATTTCATTTTATTTTTAAATGCAGATAATGAAAAACAACAAACAGATGGTTATCTTATTTTCATTTTATTTATGTGTCCTTTTGTAAACAGAAAAGTACTGCATGTACGACTCACTAAATATGAAATAAATAATACAGAAATACTAATAACAATAAAAGTAAGAGCATTTTACTCACTGTTGATTTATGGTGAATTCTGAACTGTCCCACTTTCTGACAGGATATCATCATCATCATCATCATAATCATCAACTTTATTTATAAAGCACTTTAACACCAGCCGCAGCTGAAACAAAGTGCTGAACATCAGTAAAATAAAAATGAAAACAGATAAAATCACAAAAATTAAGTAAAATCAACTCTCAGTTGGATTAAAGGCCAGTGAGTAAAAGTAAGTTTTTAGATGGTCTTAAAAATGGACAGTGTGTATTTGCTGCGGAGGTCGGACTGCAGCGGAGCCGCATGCAGTGTAAATTGGGGGTAAGGCCATCCATACGTCATCATTTACCCAGAATGCTTTGCGTGTAAATAAAATAGCCCCGTCCGTGTAATATATTTTTAAACTTTTAGCTTAAAAATGATAAAAACTGAACATCCTGCAGTATTTTTACAGTCCTTATTTTACAGTTAAAATATATTTTTATTAAATAAAGTCTAATGTTACAACCAATCATGGATCCCATTAAATGGTCTGATAATGACAGTGTTAAACATCCAGTTTGAGAAAAATAGAAAAGCTGACCCATTTTTCTGGTTTTGTAGTATAAATTGAAAATAAGTAAACCATATGATTTTTCCGTATCTAATTTTAAAATGAAAAATGAATGAGCAAAAATTACACAGACCCATTTTCCTGGGTTGAATAAATTGTTTTAATGTATACATTTACTGTTTGTTTAAGAGCACTAACCTTAGTAGTATTAAACTTGCAAAACATTAAGCTGAAATTCAACCCCTCCCTTTGGGAAGAGGAAGTAGAATTCATTTTAATAAGTTACAGAAGCTGATGCTTTCACTACGTCTCTTCCCATCCACAGTGACATTGTCCCCATCCACAACAACAAAAACCACCAAAGTCAGAGAAACTCCTGCCTGGGGTAAGCTGGGTTTTTTTCTCCCCCACTACTCCATAGTTACCTTTAACGCCAGAGGCATTGCGGTTTTTATTGTTATCTCTTGGCTTACTGACAGTATCACCATTCCCTGTCTTCCAAACAAAACCCAGGGTGTGATGGCAGAACACAGCACCTCACTTCCTCTTTTGCCAACAGATTAATGCTCAATTTCCTTATGCATAAGGCAAGATAAGATATTTGTGTCCTCATGCTGTGTCGGCTTACCGTAGATAAGATTTGTGATAAACCGTCAGCAGAGCCTGTAGATCTGTCACGCCTTTTTTTGACTTTCTCCCCACTGATGTTCTCTTCACTTGTTCCTGTTGATGCTCATTTTGTTCAACAATCAAACTCAAGTCAATATTTTTCTCTCTACCTTTATAGATCCAAAGTGGGACAAAGACTTCACCTATGGTATGAAATCCCACCCCCCCTTTTTTTTTTGTTGTGTCTTTATGAGAGCGTTTGTGGTTTCTGAATGACATTTGGTACGTCACGTGCTCAGATTATGAGTCCCTGCGATATGCTGGTCTGATCATCGCTGCCGTGCTCTTCGTCATGGGGATCGTGATCATTAGCTGTGAGTTTGTGTGAAATCTGAAAGCCGTCTCTGCGTTTTATAATCTCTGGTGACATTCAGGTGGCCTTCGTCATCTTTTCTTCTCGTTTGACTTTCAGGTGGCAAAGTCTGCCGGCTGCCAAAGTGTCGCAAGAAGTCATCGAAGTCAGTATTTTAATTTTTACATTCACACAGAATTGGATGATTATTTTGTTTTTGTTGGTGCGAGGAGTTAAATGATTAAAAGCAACCATATTGTACAATCTTTTTTTTCTATTTTTTTAAGAATGGCTAAAATACTCCTTTGAGATCAGATCATGTAAATGTGGTTCAGTGGATAGGTTATGAACAAATATGTTACCTGTTGTAGATAGCCCTTTTAACAAACTCAGTTTTAAAATATAGCTTAATTCTGTCTGGAGCGATGAGCTAGCAGCTAACTGATTTCTCTGAACTGAGCTCAATCAAAAGCTATCTACATCAGGTAAGATAGTTATTTATAACTTTCACACTTTGAAACAGAATGACTTCATCTGTCAATCAGTGTCAGCGGGTTGGACSTGCACACCCACTGGCTGATCCTTGCACATCCAAATCCTGCTCACAGCACAGCTTTTCAAGGGTCACTAATGATGGCAGAGTTGTATGTTATGCTATGTTTATCTGTGCTGCAGCTTTAGTTTGAGCTCCATATTATAACTTAGTGCTGTGCTCTGCACCTTTGGACATAATTCAATATCTGTATGTGATTATTTTTGTCTGGGTAAAGAAACAGCCAATCAAACAACTGGCTCCACCCTGTTCCTTTTGATTGACAGACAAAATCATCTTGCTGAAAAGTGTCATTGTGAAATAAATAAGCCATTGGGAAAAACACCATAATGGAAAAAAAATGACTTCATGAAAAGGATAATTTGGAATTAAAACTGATGGAATTGTAAACTGTGAAATAATGTGATGTACATTTTTAAAAGACAATGAAATTTTTTAACAAATGAGCTTAGAAATGTATACGCATTCAATTATTTCACATTTACATTGTCACATTTTATATTGATCTCATATTTATTCATATAGATACTTATTTCATAATGTTTTATTGAATATTTCGGTGTTCTGTATTATTAAGCTACAAATCCGTAATGCACTCGCTAATCCCAAAATTTATTGTTTTCAATTTTGGAACAAAATGAGGTGATTTATTAAAGTGATAAATTTGTTTTGTTTTCCAGGACGTATCAAGTGGTCCAAGGATAAAAAAGAAACAACCTGCATTTGGTGACAACTGCACGGATTCTGAGAAATCAGGAAAAAAACACTTCACTCACACCTGGCAGCATGTGTGTGTGTGTGTGTGTGTGTGTGTGTGTGTGTGTGTGNGTGTGTGTGTGTGTGTGTGTGTGTGTGTGTGTGTGTGTGTGGACTGCCGGACTGAGATGCTGCTAGGTGACTGGAAGAAAATATCTTTGAGTAAACAGAAACGACGCACGACAAGTGGAAACAAAAATTACTTGCTTTGTACAACATTTTCTTCTGTATAATAAACTTCACCTAAAAGCTCACGCAGTCTTAAAGGGAACTCTGGCTAGTTGTAATTTGTAAAAAATACAGTAGAATTTTAAATTAATTTATAAATTAAAAAAAATTTTGTTACACAGATGTTGACACTTACAAGGTGCTCCAAAGCGAGCTCTATCAAACTTAAATGTTAGCTCCAAAACTAATATATATAAATCTGTGGTGATGTTTGGCATTAGCTCCAAAGCTAATAAATTTATTGTGACATATGGCATTAGCTCCAAAGCTAATAAATTTATTGTGACATATGGCATTAGCTCCAAAGCTAATAAATTTATTGTGACATATGGGATTAGCTCCAGAGCTAATAAATATATTGTGACATATGACATTAGCTCTAGAGCTAATAAATATATTGTGACATATGACATTAGCTCTAGAGCTAATAAATATAT